GCATATCCCCGCTCACCAGCAGGCTCTATGCGCTTTACACTATATTATTACCCCAGCAGACCATAGAACACTCCGAAACATTCTCAGCTTCCCGGTATATATATATATATATATACCCAGCGGCAATAGAAACTTCCTACTTCGTTTTTTTGTAACTGCGCCCTTGTTCACATGAGTCAGTGAGCGAGATTTGGCACATCACTCACCATGTACCCAACGGTGACTCCATGTTGATCTTTATCCTGAACAAAAATTTAACGACGTGGTCACGTGACCCGGGCCCGTAAAGTGGCGCGGATGCTTCATTGCTCCCATCCTACCATCAATATCCTGAAGGATTGGTTCCAAGTGATTGGAATTACACATGACAGACCCAGACCAGGCAGACCACAGGTCGATACTGCCCAAGAAGATAGTCAGATACGGCTCTGGTATCTTTGAAATCACTTTCTCACAACGACCAGCTCTGCACTTCAGTTTCATACAGACACAGAAAAGTTATCTACAATAGAAGGATACAACTACGGCCTTAAAACACATTCAGACATCGAGCAAGGCGGCCTTATAATGACCAACGTGTACCATCTTTTCAATAATTACGCTTGAACTGACTGGGCCTAAGAGAGAGGTCCTAAAATGACAGTACAACGACTGAGACAAACTTTGATTCAAGAGTGGAATGGACTGCCACAACATTTAATTAAATAAGAAACAAAAAACTGACTCGATCAATGTACAGAACATGCCAAGCTCGCATCATTGCAAGGGGCTACAATGCCCGCTATTGATGTGAAATTTTGAAATCAAGGGGTACTGGTTTGTGCTTAACACTGTGCCACTATGAGACATGTTCGAGAAACAAAACGTAATACACTTAATATTCTATTTATAGCTGCTGTTGTTGTTGTAGTGGTTGTTTTTGTTACTGATGTTGAATCTACAATGTATACATACAATATATCGTTAAACGTGATGCATTCCCAGAGCTTCGGAACTCCGACTCCAAAGAGCACATGTCGGCGAGGGCCACAGCCCTGTACTCAGAACTACTGGGCCCCTACCACGAGTGGTACATCCGCATGGGCGTCTACGTGGCCATGCTCTCCTTCCCGTCACGTGACCTCTTGCTGAAGCAGATCAACGTGGCGGACAACCCGGCTGGGATGCAGCTGTTGGAGGACGCCTCGAGCGTCATAGACGCCGTCTACGAGGAGATTGAGATGCTGTATGAAGAGTACACTCCCCTGTAGGCTTGGGCAGAATTGAAAAAAAAATAGGACTTTCAAATCTCAAGTCATAACACCTTGAGACCCGCAAGTCTCAAGCCCAATTTCAAGTCCAGGGGACGTAATAAAGTATACATGTAACATGAATAGTCTCTTTGATAGTAAAGCCATCAGCATTACTTCCCTTTATCATTATCATTATTTTGTTGTTCTCCAACCAACCACCTAGATCTAGATCTATGTTGAGACGTATGGAACTTCTTTGTGATATTTGTATGGTTGATTATTTTTATTTTTAGAAAAAAATATTTTTCTTCGCTTGTTTGTTTTTTGTTCTGTTCTCTGTTGTATTAATAAACTCAGGAATTGCTTCAGCCTTGGATGACAATGATGGCATTGAAGCCTTATATCCGGGCCTAGGCCTGCTACCCCTTATCGAGAAAGTGGACTCAACCAATACGTCAAAGGCGAGCAAATCCTAGCAAGTAATAGGGGTGGTACTGCCTACCCCTTATCGAAGAAATGGACTCAACCAATCCGCCTAGGACGAGCAAGTCCGAGCAAGTAGTAGAGGTGGTAGGTGTATTTGAATTCAAACAATCAAACTGAAAGCACAAAATTAATAAGAAACATGCCAATTTTTAGCATTTCTTTAGACATTGGTTTACTGAGTCTTTACTCAATGTTTGTAGATCTACTGTGCGTTAAAATAATTGTATTTTTTTATTTTATTGAGGGATAGATCTATTTTGCTAGGCCACGCAAGACTTGGACTTGCTCAGTTCTAAATACTTGGTCTCAAACACTATTTGATGGGCACGAGAATTTCAAGTCTCAAGTCCAAGTCCAAGTCCTGCCCAGGCCTACTCCCCTGGCCCCGCCTCCTACTACACCTCCTCCCACGGTGAATTTTCCGGCACCTCTAGCGAAAGGAAGTTGGGATGCTAAAGGTTGAATGTGAGATTGAATGTTAGTCATATCCTCTTTATAGATACATACATATTATACGTCTGTGTATGTTTGTATGTACATGGTGATCCCCCAAAAATTGTACAGCTTTTTTTTGGTCAACATTTTCCTTCACACTGAAGTTTAACGCTTCAAATGTGTATGCAGCATTTGGAAGACGAAAGGAAGTTGTCTGATATTCGTTTTAGAAAAGTCCACAAAATAGTTTTGTTTTACATAGAGTGTAAAAAACAACTCAGTTTCAGCTATGTCCCAATTTTTGAAGCATGGTGCATTAATTCGCATTAGGCCTATCACTAAACAATCCCAACGATTGAGCCATATTGCATACTACAGTAGTCTAACAGGCCAACAGAAGTTTGCTGATTGTTTTTCTCAAGTTTCCTTTGCCTGCTGTGATCATAGTTCAGATTAGTAACGAGCAGAGAGTTTTTTGTATTGAACATTTCCTCATTACCTATTCCTTTCGTAAGTTTCGCACAGGGTACAGAAATAATGTTAAAGTGCTCTTAAAGCCTTCTTTGATGTCAAGGGTGGAAATGGTTCATCAGTTAGTACCTGTAGAGAATCAGAACTAAAATTTCCCACACTAAACACCCATTTCAGGCCAAACACACACCGTTCGCACCCCTTCTATAGGGTGCAGAATATGCAAATTGCTTGAAGCATAAGGGAATTCATGACGTTCTGAACTCTTTATAACGGTAAGCTATTTCTTTTAGGTTTTTTAAAACGAATCGTATGTATGTGTCCCTGCTTTTGCGTCTTTCTCACTTTCGTGGAGAAGTCTTGCTTTCATTTTACCACTGACTGAGATTTTCTTTTGCTCTACGCCAGATTTTAGAGTTGGTCCCTACTGAAGTACTGAGATACTGAGATTATGTCACTCTTTCAGATACAGTCGAACCTTCTCTAACGCCACCTGTCCAAGACAATCACCTACACAAACAATCACTTTCCTTTGCGTTCTTTGCGTTTTTAAAAAAATGTTCAAATGACGCTGTCCAAGATGCCCACCTGTCTAAGACAACCACTTTCTCCTTGACAATGGGTGGCCGTCTTGGACACGTTCAACTGTATATTTTTATCTATGAGGAGGATGACCCCTTTTCCTTCGTTCATTGATGTATTCCTTCTATTAGGATGTACAATACTGTTTTTTTTGTCTTCCATACGAGAGGTGTCCCCGCCATCTTGGACTACATGAGTTTTGAAAGCTCAGTGGAAACACTTGACCTTTCCAACAGGCAGTCCATACACTTAGATTCTTTTCATGTCTCTTAATAGACACAGAGGGTCAAGGAAATAAAGAAAAGAAAAAACGAAAAGAAAACAAAAATAAATAACCAACAAAAACAAAAACAAAGACAAAACAACCCCCCCCCCCAAAAAAAAAAAAAATTCCCCAACAAACAAACGAAACCCAACACATAGTAATAAATATACTAGCGATCAAGAGAAAGGTACTGCCCTATACGTTCGATCGGTTCGCCTGTTGAAGAATAATGATTATTTCTACCCTGAAATTTAAATATAAAGTATTTCATAAATATATCAAGGTGAAAGGATTGTTTTTCTGCAAAAAACCTCTCTTTTATGAATGAAATTTGACGATAGGGGAAATATCCAAAAGTCACACATCAGTACGCTGTGTGATCTCCATGTGCATTCAACACAGCAGTGCATCTCCCGCACATAGAGAATACAAGTCTTCCAGCAAAGTATTGTTTCAGGCATTGGTGAGGGCTCTGGGCCCGGAATTCAAGTCACGAGCAAAACAGTTAAACCTTTCGCACAGGTGCTCAGTTTGGTTTCAACCTGATGAAGTGACAAGTCGTAGATTCGTTGCAGCCACGTTATTCTTTATTTTTAAGAATTTAAACCCGATTGGAGTGCACGATGTGCAAGTGCATTGTCCTGTTGTAATGTTATGGGCTGATAGTGTTGTTTAAAAATGGCAGACGGAGCTCATGTGGTCTGCTGTACACTTCTGCGCTCCCACTGTGGCGTTCAAATTGGAAATGAGAATCGTCTGAGAAGGTGACTGTGTCCCACTGCTCTAAGTCCATAGGCGGTGTAGCTGTTACCAGTTCATACTACCCTGTCGGTGTTTTTGTTGAACAAGCAGTCTGTATGTAGACATCCCAGCTTCAGTCTTGAATTTCCATAGTCTACGACGAACAATATTCCGGCTGATGAGTAAAAGTTCAGGAAATTGTCCTGCGGTTTGAGAGTTGTCCTGAAACGATTTCTCAGGAGCACTGTCCTGATACAGCGGTTTGAAAATGGCGTTGTTACCTTTGGACGGCCAGTTCTGGATCGGCGTTGAATAGGCCAAGTCACAATATACCGCTATCTCAGTTGGCTGATAGCCCTTCTGCTAACGTTGACTGTCTTCGTAACAGCAGCGAGCTGAGCATGCCGATGGCTTGCTTTTTTCTGATTTTTAGTTAAAGGAACCGTCTCTTTTGAATGACAATGATCAAATGTTGATACAGTTTTAAGTAAACGCAGACCTTAACTTCATAACAATTGAAGAATAGAAAACATCCTCCTCGCAATCGGGGAAAAAAGTCCGAATTTTCTGCTTTTTCACGGAGGTCCCGTGAACACTAATTGAAGCAACAAAATGTTATAAAAAAATAATATTACCCACTTTTCAGAGTACTCAGTACTTCACGTGAAAGATAAAGCGTTAGACTCAATCAAAAGTTTAGATCGCCGGTATAGAACAAGCAGAACTGACAGTCTGTGGTAGACTCGTAGCCTATCCTTTTTATGCTCCAGGACCTCCAGCTTAAATAGAATGTATTGGTAGTTGGCTTATGACTTATTGGAGTTATTTTAATTTAATAGGTAACACTTTAGCAAGGCACTTTGACGTAGCACGCAGACGTTGTTGGTTTGATTCCAATATGGAGAGTTTTTATTCTTTAAAAACTCTTTTTAATCCTATATCTCTATCTGTCTCTATGGACATCGTAACCCTCTCAGGCCGGGTTAGCACCGACAGACAGGGTTGAATCAGCCCGCCCCCTAAATAACAGAAAATTGTGTCTGTGGGTGGAACGCTTGTTCAATTTCATTACTTTATAATATGAATATTACATTTATCCCTTTGAAAATCAGTTATCTTTGACACCCAGTCTTTGTTAACTGAGGTGTGAGACATTAAGAAGCAATATTAATCGAATCTGAATTTGTATGTTTGCAAAGTAAGCCTGATGTGATCCTTAAGTCATGCTTGTCCAGTCCATGTGCATTGCCTTTTGTATCGTATGGCATTGTTTGAGTATGTGTCACAACGTGAAATCATTGACTGAATATTTCAACCTGTATTATTATTATTTGTTTTCATATTTCACCCTTGGCACGAATAAAATGATCTTTCTTTGTTGACCTTGTTATTTGTGCAGCTGAGTGTTGTGTGTGTGTGTGTGTGTGTGTGTGTGTGTGTGTGTGTGTGTGTGTGTGT